GTTTACAAGCCTTGTTTTCATTTCCCGCACGCGCCCTGTTGAGTGACCCTGCAAATTTTTGGTACTTTTGCAGCATTGAATCTCACTGCAGAAGGGTGTTTATATTGCACTTCTTTTCTGACTAGGGGCCTTTCATACATCTCTACCGCAGTCCTATGAAATCTGTATATGTGACATTACTTTGAGTGAGACTTAATAACAAGTAAATATTAGATGGAGCCCGTGGTCTAAAAATGCTGTACGAAGAAGTTCTAATTTCATGGCATAATCAGGATTTGATAGGGGAGGTGGATTTAACCCCCTAATATGGCTAGGATGATATGGAGGTGTCAGTGCTTCATAGAAGGTCTCTATGATGGAGTGCCCTCCGAAGGACTGATCGTATCCACCTTATGTCCCAGTCCCAATTTTGGTAGTACCCAGATAAATGAAGTGTACAGGGGCCTCATGGCGCTGGGTTCTGCTGAAACACATTGCAATAGGTTACATTCCCAGGCTCCAGTGTTTCACGCTTTTACCTACTCCAGTGTTGGGACAGTAGCCAAGGTGAAGATAGTCTGATGTTGCTGGTCTCTTTCTGATATGAACAACAGCTTTTTATATTTTTCCTTGGTGCTTCCCAATTTCTACAGCTGCATAAGATGAAATATCCACCTAGAAGTTGCTGTTGAGTAACTCCTCACATGCATCTTCATCGACCCTTCAGAGCCCTGGAGCAGCCTCTAGCAGGGACTGCGTTGGGAGACGGAGGGGGGACCTAGTGGGCTGTATAAAGCAGGGGTGGGCAAAATGCTGCCCGTGGGGCTGGATGCAGCCTGCCAGGCCGTTCTCTCCGGCCTGCGGGGCCCCTAAAAAAAACAACTGATTAATATATATCTGCCCCTGGCTGCCTGGCACATGGCCCTCGATGGCTTGCCAAAACCCAGTAAGTGGGCCTCCACCCAAAATAATTGCCCGCCCCTGCTATAAAGGCACTGTAGATAACTCCAGATTAACAGTTTCTGGACCACCTATGAGCTCAGGGGACCAAACTCTCGTCCTGTTCCATTCAGCTCTTTATGTAGGGCTGGATTAGTATGTATTACATTTTTATAGCACCAACAGCAGCAGACTGCTAGGGCACTTGGGGAGGCTGCTTCGATGCACTGGAGTTCCCGCAGTCGCTGCGCTCCAGCAGCCTCCTGCGTCTCGTATCAGTGTCCCTGCGCTTAAAAATGGCAGCGGGGATGCTTGAACTAAAGCTCGTTCAAGTGCCCCCACTGCCATTTTTAAGCGCAGGGACGCTGATACAGGAGACGTGGCTGCGCTTTAATTAGAGCGGCTCTCGGAGCCTGTCTAATTAAAGCGTCACCCCTCCCACCCCCAGAGCACGTGTAAAAGTGCTCCTAGATGCCACCGAGATGTCAGGGGAAGGGACCTTGCCACCATCAGAGAGAGCATGATGATGAAGCTCTAACTAGACAGTATGCAAACAAGAAAGAGAAATGGGAGGTAAGGACCGGTACGATTGAATTCAATTTATGAATCCTTTTTTTTTTGTTTTGTTTTTTTTTAATTTGGATCTCTTTTTAAGGTTTGTTTCTTTTATTGTTGGCATTTTTTTTTTCATTGTGAAAATTTTGTGATTTCTTAAGTGTTCAGTGGGAAAAGGTATGTGGCCCGTTTGAGGCCGTGTAGACATGTAAACTAATGCCTGTTTTAACCATGACTATCATAGTTCTCCTTCTTTGTATTTTAGTGAGGCAGCGAGTCCTTAACCAAAAGAACCATGAAATCGAATGCGCAGAGACGGGGAAGTTGCAGCTGGTGGTCAGGCAGCTGGAAACAACGAGCACAACCCAGAACAAAGAGTCTCAGGAAGAGCCGATCCCGCAGCAGGTAAGTAGTTATGGCATGCCCTCTTCGCCCAGGCCAGAGTCCAGAGCTTTTGAAACGGTAGCAGGTGATGCTGTATTTACTCGAGTCCAAGATGACCCTGAATTTGTGATGATCCCCAATAATTAGAGCCTATACATGGAAAATGTATAAATGTGCTATAGTTTTCCATGTATAACATTTAATTATTGGAGGGCTGTCTTAAATTCATTCCTCTTGCTGCTGCAGTGGGGAAAGCAGTAGCAGGGAGGGCAAGCAGTGGAAGGCAGGAGATGAGGGGGCAGGCAGTGGGGCTTGACCCCTGCTGCTTGCCCCCCCACACCTTGCCCTCTGCTGCTTATCTGCCCCCGCAGCACTGTGGGGGACAGTTTGCAGGGTGAGGAGACACAAGAGGGTGGCAGGGTGGAAAAAGGAGGTGGAGAGAAGTTGAGGCTGCAGTGGGCAGGTGGGGAGGAGCTGAGGCCACAGGGGCAGAGAGCATTTTTCTGCCTTCTACCAGCTTATGCTTGTTAAATGAGGAAAATACCTCATCTTGGAATTGAGTAAATATGGTATTTTTAATGGGTTGATTGTTCTGGTTTCAGGAGCCAGAGCCGGAGCCAGCCAGCACATTCCAAGAGCCAGGTAATTTTTTGTTTGAAACCGTGAACCACATTAAATACATCAGATTTGTTTTTATAAAATAAAATCTAGGTGCTGGTTTGTGCATTAAAGCTGCTGTGCTATGTGAAGGGCTGAGCTATGGGTCTCAAAGATTACAACTCATAGCAAGCAAGATAAATTTCCCCACTGTCTCTCGGTTCTTGTCCCAGTCTAGCAGCTATTAAGTTGATGAGAAAATTGGAAATGTGAAAGAGCCTTGTGTAGAGACCTATTTTTCACACCTGGGTTTGGATTCTGGTAGCATAGGGTTATCCAGAACAGCAGTCAACTTAAGTGAGGAATATTCTGGATCTGACTGCTGAGTAGTTATTTCATGTTGCAAGCTGCTGTCCGGGTGCAACATCTCTGGGTCTGGCTATTTTCATTCATAGATTTCATAGACATGAGGGCTGGAAGGGACCTCGGAAGATCATCGAGTCCAGCCCCGTGCCGGAGGGGCAGGAAGTCAGTTGGGGTCATAGGATCTCAGCAAGATAAACATCCAAATTTCTCTTGAAGGCGTTCAAAGTGGGTATTCAAGGCAACACTTCAGAGATACTCAAGCTAGCTTTGTCTGTGCTAGTTCTGGAACTGGAAGCAGCAGACCTGTGTTAGTGTAGCACTGTGTCCAGACTACTTTAAGGAAGACTTAAGAATCTGAGGCCAGTGCATCATTAATATGGCTATGCTGCTGGCTCCAGATATAGCACAGCCAGAGCTAATGCATCTCGGCACAACATGCAGTGCTTTGCATCAACATATCCATTAAATCCTTGTCCAGAAAAGGACTGAAGTCCCCACCACATTTTCCTTAATCATTATTGAACTCCAGAAAACTCATGCTTAATTGATAACACAAATTGCTTTAATCAAACCTGGTAATTGAGTGAAAAAAACATTATTTTTTTTTGCTATGACTCTTGGTACAGGGCTTTTAGTTCAAACAAAACTAAGGTTCTCCTTTCCTATTAGTTGACCATGGCCTAGCACTGCATTATCCTGCTTGAGAACTCCTTATTTGTGCAATAAATGCTCTTCACGTGAGAAAATAGGTGGTTAGACCAGCGCAGTCTGACAGCCTTAGTCGTTGACTTTGTCTTAAATTACTATTACAAGTATTCTTGCTGCAGTACCAGTTGAAGTTCTTGGGCAGAATCAGGACCACACTGTACTAAGCATTAATCAAGCACATTAGGGGCATAAGCCTCAAAGTTGCTTCTCACCGGAGGAAGCTTGTCTCTGAGATCTGTTGTTCAACAGTTTCTTTTCTAGAAGCAAGTGTTCACTTCAAAGTGCCGTAATGCATTGGGAAGGCTGATCCATGTTTCAGGAAAAATTACAGATGGACACATTCTAATGGTTTTCTGTGTTCTAGCTTATTTTTAATATAATGCCTCTTAATCTTTAAGCTTGTTCAACATGTTTGAATGATACCATGCCTGGGTTGAAATAAATACATACTACAAAGTATGATTTTTTTTTTTTTTTTTAAAGGTACGTGTTGTCAAAGGTAACACAATTAAGCTAGATGAATTTGTAGCTGTAAAAACAGAGGGGTTTTTTTTACCTGCAGTAAGCAACAATATTTTGTGTTTTTTGTTTTGGTTTTTTTTTCCTTCCAGTTCATGAATCCGAAGCATTTGTTCCAGCCCCTAGTGCTGATGGGAATTGTGTGTGTGTAGAGCAAGAGCAAAAGCCAGGTATATTTTCAACTTGTTAACTGCAGGCAGTCTCAAATTCAACAAGCCTATATGCTAGCCTACCTTTTTGCAGTTAAGCTTTCTGTATTGCTACCTGTATTACAGGTGATCTAGTAGGTTGGCTATTGATAAAAGAAGCAAGAAATGGATCTACAACATGACCATGTATTAGTTGTACCCCAAAACACAAAAATAGACTCATCCTAAAGTCTATCCGGCTATGAATGACAATACAACATGGATTCTTACCTATATCAACTGGAGATTCTCAAGAAGGGCGTAGAGGATGGCATGAAGAATGGTAGCAAGTCTTCTCTTATATGCCAAGTTCTTCAAATTCCTCTCAAATCTATACCCTATATTTATAGACAGCTCGTTTTGATAATCTAATAAATATTCTCTGGTTGGCTTTATTGATAGTTTCCATTTTGCTGAAACTTTTGGACCTGAACTGAATCGGGCCAGTTGTTTTATGGACTAGGAAGGTGTCAATTAGTAGGGATTTGCATCCTTGTGAAAGTTCCAGTTCTGGAAGGGAGGGTTAGGCAACTTATTTGTCCTAATAACATGTATCACATCTATCCAAAGAACCTTGCCTGCCTACAACTTCCCAACAAACATGAACACACATCTCTTCTTACAAAACTGTATTTGGCACATGTGGGTACAGTAACCACTACTGTTAATATTTTTAAGCTAGAGCTATGCTATACTATATTTTGAATATCTGTTTTAAGGCGTTCTTCTATAATGTCACTATCCAGGCCTTGTGCTTTGTTTCATTTGGTTTATTGGTTTATCTGGATGTGTTGATTGTTTCCTTTACTCTGCTGACCAGGCTAGTTGTACTATCTATAAAGGGTGCACTTTGCAGTCACTTGGAAACAGGCTCTGGGGCCTTCGTTTTAGGCAGATTTCTGCAGCTTGAGCTTGGCTCTTTGTAAATGGCCAAGTTTGGCAACACTGCACAAATACCCCTTAGTGCTACTGCCTAGGCAGCACTACCAGTGTTAGTAATATTGTAGGGGTGTACTTGGTAGCCGTGTTGGTCTGAGACAAAAAGACATACAAAACACTGGAACTCTTGGTTCCAAAATGATACCTTTTTATTAGACCAACTGGAAAATGGCAAGAAAATGTATTCATTTTCAGGACTCCATCCTGTGCCACTCAAAATTGGGCTAGATGTCACAGTGATAAAACCCAATTAACTGCCAGCAACCCATCTGCCTGAGAGGTCCCACCAGTGTGCCCACTGTTGGAACTGTGCTGGCGATTAATGATGGGAAACAAAAGGGCAAATGAAATCAAAGCCCGACCAGTGGTTCCCCTTTGTCAAGGCTGAGTCAAACTGACTAGGCCTTGTGAAAAGTCCCTGCCTCTGAGTCCCAGTTATGTAGAGAAACCGAGACCTTGTTTCTAGTACTATTGTTCCCAAATCTTCCCATGCCAGTACAATTGAATTTTCTTATCTTTTTAAAAAAAAACAAACCCAAAACCCCCCCCAAAAAACTCTATTAAACAAAACTGAGATGTCATTTTAGGAACAAATCTCTATTCCTTATTTTTCCTCTCCCCTTGTTTTTGATCTGGTGAACTTAGTATAAACTCCTTAGAAGGAGAGGGGAGAACCTGATTCTGGTTATTTAAATTTTTTATCAGACTTCCCATCTTTGATTTTTTTTTTTTTTTTTTTTTTTTTTTTCTCAGATCCTTCAGGGAAATTTGGAGGAGAGACGACGCCCTCTAAGGAATTCACTGTGGTCGTCACAACTGCCACTGGGGAGGACATTGAAGATGATCTCTTGGAAATGTACTTTGAAAATAAAAAGCGGTCAGGTGGAGGACCCATCAAGTCCTATGTCAGAGACGATCAACACATTTTCATCACCTTTGAAAAGGAAGAAGGTACAATATTGTGGTGGTTCCCAAAAGTAGGCCACTGTTGATGCAAAGCTCACCATACCCTGGAAATCCCATGCTGTTTATGTAGGACTAGGTGTGGTCAGAGTACTGTTTCCCACCCCCAGACCCATACACACTGTGTGCATCACCCACGGTGCTGCACTGGAAATATTGCAGGTTTCACACCAGCTCTGAATATAGTAGCACAAGTGGGGAATGCTGGGATAAATTGCTATATCCATGCTTACAAAGATCTAGCGCAGGGTATCTATTATAGAAGGAGCATAGTGGAGCAACAGGCTTTATTCCAGTTCAGTACCTGGGATCGGGGGCTGCATTGTGCTTTGGCTGCAGATTGGGTGCAAATTTTACCCCATGCTTTTTACCCTGCCCAGATTCCATTTTTCCGGAAGCTGGGAAAGGGAGTAAATCCCTTGGTTTTGCAGAAAAGAGAAACGCTAATGCTATTTTTCAAAATTCTTGTTGCACCAAGTCTATCATGGCACTGTGGGCAGGATAAGCTTTGCCAGGTGCCTAAGAAAATGCTTTGCTAAAAGTTCTGGATATGGGTGGCCATATTTCCAGTTAGGGTGGTGTAGGGTGCCAGGGTCAACAAAAAATGGAAAAAGGCTATTCCTGGACTGAGATGGCTTCCTTGTTGGATTAGATTAGAGTTTGGTTTATACTGAGATATTGGCTGTAGAACTATTTAGCTGAGAATAAAGAACCTCAACCAAATTTGGAAGAAAGGAGTACAAGCAAAACTACCCTCAGGCTAAGTTATCTTTAATTAAGTTCCATTTGAGAGGACACTTCACGATTATCCTCAGTGCCGAGGTCTTACACCTGAAAACCCAGAACATTTAAGACACCTAGCTTCTGAGAGTAGCCAGAAACTCCCGAATCATAGTTTGACCCTCCTGTGTGAGAGAAGGGGTTGAGGGCAGAGGGGCTGATTTAAGATGAAGTATACAAATCTTTGTGGCCGGCATCTGTGGCACGACTGTTCTGCAGAATCGCTGAACTGTATTCAGAAGCCAAGGTTTATTGAGACTTGCAGACCATCAGTGGAAAAGAAAACCCAGGCTTCAGGTTACTCACCTGCAAAATAAAAACCACCATTTTGATTGAAGTCTCACTTTTTCTCATTTTGTTAGGGTAGTATTCAAGAGCACCTCCAGATTTTTCTTCTTGGCTTTTAGTCAAAGTGAGAAGTAGAGATTATTCTGCTGTCCTCTTCTGACCATGTAGCTTCCAGCTGCTTAAGTTTGACTGAGCTCGCTAATGTTCAGCTTCATGAAGCTCCACGCAGCCTGGTGTACTTCCCTTCCTCCAGTGTCAATGCCACTGGAGGAAATTAGGAAAGCAACAGAGAAGACCAGAAAACTTAAACCAAGAGACAAGAAGAGAACTGATCAGGGAAGCAGGTCAAGATGAAAGAGTGCTGTTAGGGGTGAGCATAGCTCCATGTGGCATAAGACGAAGGCTCTCAGGAATAACTTCATTAGATAAGATTTGCTTGACTGTGTGGGCAGGCCAGATTTGAGTGCACCCGACCTTGAAAGCTAAGCAGTCTATGGTCTGAGTGTTTGAAAACCCAGGTGCTATAGCTATAAGCCAGGCAACTGTGTTCACCAAATGTTTGGTCACTGTTTATTAAAAGTCATATCAGCAGCAACAATAGATCTGACCTTATCATTGTACTGAACTGACAGGCAAGACGAAAGGAAAGAGTTTGCTTGACTGTTTCAGTAGCATTTTCATGGGGAACTATTTAGCTAGTTAAAAATGAATTTTAAGTGACTTCAGGTCTTACACAGGCCCCTAACTTTATTTGTAGCTTCATGGTTACACTTTTCTTTTGGCTAAAGTGTTTTTTCCTGCTATGTTACCTTAGTCAGCCTGTTTCTCTTGCTTGCTATTCAGTGGAAATGGTGTAGTTTTACTCTATACAAAGTGCTGTCAAATGCATAACATGAATGGACAGAAATAATGTGTTTTTCCAGTCTTGCTGATAGTGATTTTTAGATGTTAATTTTATAATAGTGGAAAGAAATGTTTCTGGCAGCAATGTGATATTTGAGCTTAGAGCTCAGGTCCAACAAAGCACTCTGAGAAGCTAAAGCATTTCAAAGTTAGGTACCCATTTCCCATTCGTATCCATGGGATATGAACACCTACTTCACTGATCCTTCTGTGAGAATCCTAGCCTTAATAACTAGTTTAAGTTTAATGGGACTATATTTGCCTACGTGCCTTGCTGAATGGTTTCCTAAATAAAAATATATTTAATATATTTTGGTAGAAATTTAAACTAATTGATTAGTCCTTGCTGATCTTTCATTCACATACTTCTCAAGAGCACTGTATTAGGGTCTAGACAGACCATTTGTTGTATACTGAGATAGTCAGCCTTTATACCAGGTGTTTGGGGGTGTGAGGAGGGGGGAGAGTGAACATGATACTGGCCTAACTGCTCAATTTTTGTCTCAAATTACCTCTGAAAGAATCTGAGATTAAAACTACACCTGGTCTAAGTTGTATTGATGTAGGTGTTGTTTGCATGTCGCTTATCCAGGGTAGTAATGTGTTCATAGCAAACAGGCTATTATCAGCTGTCCTACCACCTAGTTGCAAAGATGTGTAATAGCTTCTAGCCTTGTCCAGCTATCCCTCTCTACTGTATATTCTTACATACAGCATGTACCTTTTCCCGCAAAATAAGCCCCTCAAAATTGGGGTGTGTGTATTAAGTGGGGATGCTGACTTTCTCCCCTTGACCCTTGAGGACTAATTGGCACTAGTAATGTAGCTGGTAACATATGCTGCTGCAGGTTCAAGTTATTCTGGATAACAGAATCATTTTTAACCTAATTCCTACTTCTGGCATTTATAATATGTTTCCATTTCTTCCATAACAAAAGAAAGTACGAATCAACTTAGACCTTAAAAATATATTGGGGCTTACTTAACATTAATACCTGTAGTTACTTAGAACTAGTTATATAATGGTGATCTCTATGTGTGTGTGTGTATTTCTGGGGAACTAGATGCTCAAGCCATCTTGCGACGAAAGAATCACTCGGTAAAGAAAATTGCGCTTTATGTGAAACCAGCCCAAGTGGAGGATATTCAAAAAGTCCTGTCTTCATCCTTGGTTGTGCTAAAAAACGTACAGGAGACTACAAAAGAATGTGTGTTAACTCTACTGGTGGAGAATATCAGTGGCTTATCAGTAGATGATGACGACTTCAGTGTGGAAATAATACCTGAAATAAATGCTGCTGTAATCACATTTATCAAGACTATTGGTAAGGAGGAATGTATGCCATGTATCTCTTTCATCTGAGATGTTAAAGGGGGATCATTCAACTAATGTGCCAGCTTAGCTAGAAAATGAGAGGGTGATGTTATGTCAAAGGTTTCAGATGTAGCCTGATCTCTCCTCATTGCAAATCAGGGTAACTCCACTAAAGTCAGTGAAGCTACACTAGGTCAGTCTGAGGGAGAAAGGAGTTGGACCCAGTGTATATATAGTGACCATAGCTGGGACAATAACCATCTCTAAATTTTATAGACTCGGCTACAGAAGTGCTGGGCAGTTGGCAGTGAACTATTGCAAGTGATGCATATGTTTTACACTTGGTAAATTAAAATTATGGGCCATTATTTTGTGGTGTATACTGCACCAAATATAATTTCCCAAGGGCTACATCCTTTTTTTTTTCCCCCCACTTAAGTCGATGGTAGCTTTGCATCTGGCCTCTAATGGCACAGTATTTGTCCCTAAACAAATAAAATGTTTGCTAGAAGGTAGTAACTTCAAATCTATATAGCACCCCAATAGTTTGACTATATAGCAGGCAAGCTACACTATGCATTTTGTTTTTCTTTAAGCCCATTTTGTAGTTTGTTCTCATTTACACGTGTCCTTCATCAGTATAGTATAATAATGTACATTATAACTATTCTGGATGACCAGCTGTCTCTCATTCCACTTCAGTGAGAAGTGTGAATTTATTCTGAGGAAAAGCTGTGATTATTATTAACAAATTAGACGCAGTGGCATGGGAAACCATGACCGTTGTCAGCAAATAGCTTTGAGAGGGAGCATGATCTGTAGGTCTTAGTGTCCAGGTAAAAGTCCAGAATGGCTCCAGTTCTTTATTCCTGGCTCTGACAACAATTCTTCCTTTAGTCCTGGGTAGGTATTGTCACACATTTGTGACACTGCAGTATTTGCCACACAAGTAAAATCTGCTCGCCTCCCTCATTACCATGAAAGCTAATGGTATTTTACTTGTTTGATGGAGGGAGACTTATTCTAGGCAAGTGGAAAACATTGTATTTTCCAAATCCAGTGTAGGTTGGAATAACTTTGCTTCCAGTCTGGTTTAATCCTAGAAGCCAAACAGACTTGGGTAGCTCTTGTTAAGAGGTTACCCTGAAATCCCCAGTGTCATAGGCACAAAGCAAGCTATTGTGGTTGAACACTGGGTGTGTACGAGGGCACACGAACTGAATGAGCACAAACCCTTTATTTGGCCCTGTTGATGCTGCTGAAGTGACAGACTGGAATAATAATATAAAAAAAAAAAGGCATGTAATGCAACATTTTGGTCCGTCTCTGCTGCATAGCATTTGTGTTGGTTTTCTGATCCCTGAAAAACAAGTTCTCCAGATAATCATTCATGTTTTGTTTCTAGATATTGAGAAATTTGTTGAAACATTCAATGAGAACCACAGGGCAAAGCAGCAAAAAATTAAAGCAGGTCATCTGGAGGAGACCAACATGATTAAGATTGAAAATTTACCACCTAACATATCGTCTGATTATATAAGTATTTATTTTGAAAATAAGAAAAATGGAGGTGCACAAGTGTCTGATGTTCAACAACTCCCCGAAGATAATGCAGCTCTCGTCACCTTCCGTGACGTCGAGGGTAATGTACAAACGTGTAACATTTTGTTTCATCTCAAGGTGTAAAGAGCAACATGCAAACAGGATAGGTACTTAAGAATGACAACTTTACTCCGTGAAAAGGGTTAACCATTCTGGTTTGGCAGCAGACTGGCTGGGAGCTGGATGTATATAATATGTAGGCTCTTGCTTCATTCCACCTACAATAGATAATTAGCCTGCGTTCCTTGCTGTGTAGCATCTGAGTTCCCCACAATTATGAGGATGAGAGGAGGAAGAGATAGTGTAATGCTTTTTTGTCTAGCTTTGGTATTGGACTCCATATAAAATATATTAGCTACATAGTTTTATGCCAAATGAGGATCTTGTCTCCCTCCTAAAGGAAAGACTAGCAAGATTTGGCTCTAAGAAGTTAAAAAAAAAAAAAAATTGAACAACATCTGTTTGAAACACTCAATTTCTGTGTTAAAATTCCATGTGAAACATTGCATTGTAATTGTGCAGGTCCACCTAAAATCTCATTCCCATAAATCAATTTTTGCTTGAAAAAGCTGAATACAATGCGTCACGTCTGACATGTCTGTCATTTTAAGGGACTTATGTCAGTTGAACCTGTTGTAAATAGAATCAGTAATTGGCCAGAAGTTCATAGAATCATAGAAGTAGGGTCAGAAGGGACCTTGTAGATCTTCAGGTCCGACCCCCTGCCTGGGCAGGAGGAACACTGGGCTCAAATGACCCCAGCCAGGTAGGCATCGAGCCGCTTCTAAAAGCCCCCCAGGGTAGGAGCCAGCACCACTTCCCTTGGAAGTTGGTTCCAGATCCTAGCCGCCCTGACTGTGAAGTAGTTCTTATGGGTGTCTAATCTAAACCTACTCTCCAACAACTTGTGGCCATTATTCCTTGTTATCCCGGGGGGTGCTAGGGGAAACAAGGTCTCCCCCAAACCCTTCTGGTCCCCCCCCTAGTGAGTTTATAGATGGTCACAAGCCCCCACCTCAGCCTTCTCTTGTGAAGGCTGAACAGGTTCAGGTCCCATAGCCTCTCATTGTAGGGTCTGCCCTGCTGTCCCTGGATCATGCGGGTGGCCCTCCTCTGGACCCTCTCAATGCTGTCCACATCCCGCTTGAAGTGGGGTGCCCAGAACTGGACACAGTACTCCAGCTGCGGCCTGACCAGTGTCGCGTAGAGGGGGAGGATCACCTCCTTGGCACTACTTGAGATGCACCTGTGGATGCACGATAAGGTCCGGTTAGCCCTGCCAATGGTGACCTCGCATTGTTGGCCCGTGTTCATCTTGGAGCCAATGATGAATCCAAGATCCCTTTCTGCCTCTGTGCTCTCAAGAAGGGAGTTTCCCATCTTATAAGTGTGCTGCTGGTTACTACTAAGTTGACACCACAATATGCATGAAAAGGCAGAAAGAACCCGACAGTAGAATTTCTTCTACTTTTCTGAAAGAAATGACACGCTAAATTTGCTTACTTCAAGAATAAGTATTTATTACTGTTCTTAATTCAGGCTAGCATCCTGGCTTGTTAAGCAGTGGACATATTTAAAGCACTGTAGGAATTAATGGCTCACTCTCAAAATTCAAGGATGTAGCAAGTAGGGTTGCATTGGGCTGGCCTGGGTCTAGCACTGTTCAGTCCTTTCATTGATGTCTTGTATAATGGAAGTGGTAAGTGCATTTATTAAATTTAGATATAGGTTGCAAGCACTTTGCAGGGCAGGATTAGAATCCAAAATTATCTTGAGAAATGGGGAAAATGGCTTGGAAGAGGTGAATTTCCACAAGGACAAATGCAGTGTACAGCTGCAAAATGCAACATGAGAACACCTGGCTAGAAAGAAGCTCTCTACAGAAAGATCTAGGGGTCAGAGAAGATCTAACTGAACATGAATCAACAGGGTTATATGGTTGTGGGGAAAAAGCCAACACCTCAGTGTGATGTCTAAATATATCTAGAAGCCATGACCTATGAGGAAAAGTTGAAAGACCTGAGTTTTTGTCTAGAGAAGAGAAGACTGAAGGGAGATGTCACCCTACTTGGGGTCAGGACACGTAATGGGCTTAAATTGTCACAAGAGAGATTTAGGTTGGGCATCAGGATGAATGCATCAGGTAAGCTCTTGAATCTATATTGCTGAAGGCTGTTTGTTTTAAGAGCAAGTTAGACATATGACAGAAACGGCTTCCGAAGAGTTGATCCTGCCTTGGGGCAGGTGGATGAACTAGATGAACTCTTGAGGTCTCTCCTTCCCTGGCTTTTATGATTTTGCAATGTATGAAGTCCTCCAGGGTACATAGAAAAAAAGGTAGCATTTCAGTGATGCAAAAGTGCTTGACAGACAGACGGGCAGATACTCCTATCATATAAACAGAAATGCAGTAATTCAAGGGTTCAGATTTAAAAAAAAAAAAAAAAAAAAAAGCGAGAAGTCTGTAAACTTAAATGGATACAATTAATTTTTTCTTTTTAGGTGTAAACACTGTCTTAAGAAAGCAGCATTCACTCAACCAAGTTCCAATTTCAGTATATCCTTACCACAGCTCACTGGGCACAGCTCTATATGGAAAGGAAGGGCCACGAATAAAAAAACCAGAACCAATCAAAATGTCTCTGAACCCTCATATCTGGAAGTTTTTGCAGGGGGATCAGAAGCTAATCCAAAAAATAAATCACAATATGGCAGATTGCAACTGTGACATAACATGGCCACCACCCAATTGTGGAAATCCCCAAATTGTGCTGTCTTTCTCCAATGCTTTGTCCAGCCACAAAAGATTAATGGCTCAGGTGATCAAGACATGGAATAAAGACGTTTCTGCAAAGTTTTCAAGTAGCATATCGGAGTACAAGACTGCTGAATATAAAATAAGTTCAGAGGTGTGGGAAGCCATTAGAAACAGTGCGAAGAGGGATCAGGTCTTGATCATACCTGACATTTCCAAGGAGATGGTTGTCTTAGTAGGTGGCAAAGAGATTATGAAAGACGTAGAGCCAGAAATGAGCTTGCTCATAGAAAAGGCCACTAAAAAGATAGAAAGAGAAAAGAATGTTACTGAAGAAAAGGTGTCCGTTGCCCCAGGAGAGTATGCAGTTTTAAACACTTCTAGACTTGAAGATGTTTATAAGGAGTATCCATCCATGAAGATAACTTATGATCCTTCATCAAAGAAGCTGAGCCTGTTTGGTGTGGCTGAAGATGTTTATAAAATCAAAGGTGAAATACTGGAAAAGGTGCACGGCCTGGAAAAGAAAGCAATCCCTATGCATCCGTACATTTGCCAGTTCCTACAGCACGTAGATAATGAAGCGGTCTCACAGAGCTTATTTGTGTCAAATCAAATTAGTGCCTTTTATGAGCTTGGTGATGAAGTCCTAATGCTGATAGGAGCATCTCCTGAAGCACTGCAAAAAGCAGAAGAAGTAATGGTGAGGGATTTGACCTATAAATGCATTGAGCTGGAGGATCAGTCAGTCCTCAGAAAGCGAGAATGGCAGGACCTCACCAACCATTTGTACAGAGCACACAACTGTTCGAAGGAAAGCCTAATAATTGATGAGATGGAGGATCGGATCGTTATTGCTGGTTATTTTAGAGTGGTTGGAGAAGCCTATCAGCAACTGAATGATTTTTTAGATAGAAATATCCAACTACAAAAGATCATCAATGCGAAGTGTGTGGCAGTTGTAATGTTTTTAAAGGAACGGAAGTCCAGTGTTTGCCTGGAGTTAGAAAAAAAACACGTGAAAATTGAATTTGGCACGCAGGCTTCACGCAAGAGCATTTCCCTGAGTGGATCGAAAGTGGAGGTGCTGAAAGCAGCGACGATGCTCGAACAAATTCTGTCTACGCTGCATTCGAAAAACGTATTAATCAATAAACCAGGGGCCAGGCAGTTTTTCAAAGACTTTGAATCCTTATATAGTAGTGGGGTGGAACAAAAATTTAAGTGTCTGATCAGGCTTCAAGAAGAGGGAGAAGAATGTGAAAAAGATGACAAAGTTAGTAACATTCATAAGCAATCAAGTGGGACCTGTTGGACCAAATCCCTGCTAAATGGGGTGCTGGTGGCAGTTTATAGAGGTGACTTGTGCAGTCATCCCGTCGACGTTATAGTGAATGCATCAAACGAAGACTTAAAGCACATTGGTGGCCTTGCCGGGGCGCTTTTAGCAGCTGCAGGCCCAGACCTCCAGACAGAATGTGACCGCTTTGTGAGACAGCACGGGCGTTTGCAACCTGGGCGTGCAGTTATTACAAAACCTGGGAAACTCCCTTGCAAACAGGTGGTGCACGCTGTTGGTCCCAGGTGGAAGCAGAATGAAGCAGAAATGTGTGTGCAGCTTTTAAAAAAAGCAGTTAAGGAAAGTCTAAAACTCGCTGAAACGTACAATCATCGTTCCATTGCACTCCCTGCAATAAGCTCGGGGCTCTTTGAATTCCCGTTAAAGTTGTGCGCGCTTTCAATCGCAACATCCATTAAGGAAGCCTTGGAAGATTCCACAGGCGACAGCTGTTTGAAAGAGATTCATCTTGTGGACACTGATGAGAAGACCGTCAAGGCTCTCATTGATGCTTTGGAAGAAGTGTCAGGAGAGATGTCGTCCCCATCCTATTCATCAGCTGAGCCTGCAGCAGATTCCCAGCCCTCAAAAGCTAGAAACACTCAAGACAGAGAGGATCGCCAGATGGTAACTACAGCTGAAGGTCTGAACATCAGGCTGTTGACAGGAGGCATTGAAGATGCAACAGTAAGTGTTTTAATTTATCAGCTGTTTATCTAGCATGGTTCAAGGTTTTTTGTTTTCAGATGTAAAAATAATAAAAAGACACATTATTTCATTTTTAATTATAAATAATATGTCTACGTTATGATTTATAACTGCCTGAGTCACTGTTTTACATGTTAAAATAGATGGATTTAGTCTTTAGTCAAACTGCATTTAGTCTTTGTGCTGTTCTTTCATATATAGACATGGGCAGACGCATGATGGATAGAACTGATTTATCTCGCTTTTGGAGAGATTTGGGTTAAGCCCTTCTTTGTTCCATTGCTTGATGTGGCTTTATCTGTGTTCAACAATTTCCTCTGTGTAATAAACTAAAACCAATGGTTAAAACAGCAGTACTGCAGCTCTTAAGTTAGCTGTTGTCCTCCTCTGTTCTCACTGTCTCTTGTAAGACTACCTACCTCTTATTCTTTAGAGGCAGGGTCTATACAGACCTGTTGGCCGGTGAAAGGAGACTTTTTAAATGTGATATACAATAGTCCTTGTACAGGAGATGAGATGTTGTCATGACTCGTGCTGACCCTAGGTGAGCTAGAAGGAACCCTTTGTATTTCCCTCTCCTCCATTTTTTCAGTTTAATGCCTCTCCTTCACTTTTTTTTTTTCTTTCCTCTCCTTAACTCTTCCTCCACTTCCGTTTCCTTTCTCCTCGTCTTTCCCCCTATCTGCATTCATGCAGTAGCTCCCTTTTCATAATGCAGGCTGAAAGTCACTGCTGCCTTATGTCAGTTCTGCTGATGAGAGAGAAGTCTGGACAAGAAAACTGGAGGTGAACTATCTCTTCCAGGAGCATCTTGTCCAGGGATTTTTCAAATGGACGTGGGAAGAATGGGGTAGGAACACAGGCTTCAGACCGTTCCATGGTCACATTTAAACTGCTCCGTATAGATGGACAAATTTCACTCTGTTGCACACACCTCAGACTTTTGTGAGGCTGGAAGGTGTCATGACCCAAAAGGCATGATTGTGTGTGCGCTTCGGCACCAGAATTATCCCCGCCAAGTTGCAGAGCATTGCACGGGAGTGTTTCCTGTTGTAGAGGAAAACCCCGGTGCAGGGACGAGTTTCCCGCCTTTTCTGCAGCTTCTTTTGCAGAGTGCATTGCTCATGTTGCAAGAGGAATGCACGGTGCAAAAGAGTTCCCACCACCGGTATGCAAATTTGTTCCCCGTGATTGGCTAGTGTTAAATTATTCACACGTGGCGGCTAGCGATTGGCCTGTTAGCCGTATAAGAGGCTTGAGCAGTTTCCGCCCAAGCCGAAGAGGACTCCATATCCATCTCGTGGGGACTCTGGGTACACGGCAGGGTAATAGAAACCCTGTGTGAGATCCAGAGGAGCTTGGCGGCCTGATCCACCGCCCACCTCTTCCCGTCTTCGAGCGCGACTTTTATAAGATGTACCTACGATTTCTATTTTGGTGGCTCGTTCACCCAGAGCATCCGGAGCTCTGCACCGTGGAGCCTAGCAAACTCCACGAGACCGTCTGTGTTGTCTGTCTGTAACTGCAACTTAATCAAGTTTTCCAGCCTACACCACTGCCATCTCGGTGTAAGTAAACAATCTTTAAAACTACCGCTACGCGTCTGTGCCTAATTCCAGCTCGACGGCCTTCCCTCTCTGCCCCGGCGTGCCCGGGCTGCTGGCCACAGCCCGCGTGCAGCGCGAAAAAGGGCTCGGGGCGCTCCCGGCCCGCACAGAAGGTAGCTGAGCATTTGCTTTGTTCCACGCTGATACTTTCTAACTCACTTTTGCGTTGTTTATTAAACCAGCAAATGTAGTTTGCACTGGCCATTTTGAGTGTAAATGTTATAAAATGTTTTTTGTTTGTCTGTTTAAGACGGATGTCATCGTGAGCAGCGTTGCCCAAGATCTAATGCTTGATAAAGGTCCGCTGTCAAAAGTCTTGCTGAGCAAAGCAGGCCCAGTGCTCCAGACAGACTTAAATGAAGAAGCCCAAGGAAAAGTAGCTACTGGAGGGACTGTGTTCCAAACAAAGGGATACAACCTAGGCTGCAATTTTGTGCTTCATGCCATTATTCCTGCATGGGATAATGGGCAAGGATCTGCACAGAAGGTAAAAAGCCTTTTTCTTTTCCTAAATTCTCATTAGATTGACCAGGCTTCCCAGTTGGCCTTAATATAGTTTTAAAGCAAAATCTCTTCTGAAGCCAGTAAACTTAAGGGTTTAACTTAAGGGTTTAACTTAAGTTTTTAAATGTCAGTGATCTCCTCTCATCTCGATAAATAGATCCTGAATTAAGATATTTCCAGTAGCAAACAATGCCCCAAAGAAACGACACAACTGTGCATGCTAAAATGAATGCTGTTCTGCTTCACAGACCCTAGGGGACATCATTGAAAAATGTCTGCAGATCGTGGAGGAACAGTCTTTAAAGTCAATCACATTCCCTGCAATTGGGACGGGGAATTTAGGATTTCCGAAAACAACTGTTGCTAAACTAATGTTTGAGCAGGTGTTCCAGTTCAGCAGTAAGATGAATTTAAAATCTCTTCAGGAAGTTCACTTTCTGATCCACCCAAAGGATACAGATAATTTTCAGGTAAGTTGCTGTAAATTACTGTCTTACTATGACACACTGTTTCTGTTATCAATTGGCTGAAAGAATAGGGCCAGGTTAAAAATGAGCTTGTCCTATTTCTTTAAGTGTCTTCACTTTTGGTAAAGTTTTCATCCTCTCTCTAAGCTGCCCCAAAAATGTTTAGCTCTTCCTGCAGTCTTGGTAGCATTTGTATAGCCTACTGGTAATAGCAGCAAAATAAAAGGCAAACCAGGCACAGACTGTTTTACCAGTCGGAGTTGTATTATAGGGGTAGAAATACTGGTTGCCCATCCGCTTTTGAACTTTTGCATTGTTACCATAGCTGAGCTGCACTGGTGTCAGATGAATATTGGGGAAAACGTTTCCATAGACGAGGGGTGTCAAACTCGCCTAGGGCTGTGGGCTAGATCCAGACCACGGCAGTCCTGAAGGACTGGATCCAGTCCAGTGCAGAGCGGTGGTAGCTGTGGCCACTGTAGCAGCAGTAGTAGTAAGGGGGTCTGGCAGCAGTAGGTCTGGGGAAGGGGGCAGATACGCTATTTTGGGAGGTGATCCCTACCACTTTACTGATAGAAATGCCATTGGGCACCATATGTCATGCAAAACTCTCCTCCGATCCTTTCAGAAATGGTTAGCTGCCTCTTCTGCAAAATTCTACACGTGTCCCACCCCTCCTCCCCCATTTGCTGGCATGGACACAAATTAAAGTGTAAAGATAAACCTCTGAATCCATGTGAACCTGGCACAGGTAGAGCTCGTCTGTGGGGAAAATTTACCAGCCTAATTATGCTGGTGTTACTCGCTGTGTGCACTTTTTTTATCCTTGAATAGAGCAGCATTTGTTCAAATAAGCTAATGTAACTCTGCATGCAGAAATGTACTGGTGTAGCTATGCTGGTGCCATTTACAGAAACCACCTGATGGCATTCTCTTTTCCCTTCTTCATTTTGGGAGCATCTTCACTTCTGGGCTTAGCTGAGGATTGATAACCCGAGTTGAGTTAAGTTTGCTTTTCCTCTAGCTAAACTGTCTCATAGTGAAGTATGTCTGAGCATTACTTGATCAATTGTACAGGTAAGGGGTCAGCAAACTACAGCCCACAGAAGCATTGCATCCAGACTGCAGACATGAGGCTTTAGTATCGTTTTGCAACAGGGACTTTAGCTGTGGATGCCTTCCCCTGTGCTGCCAAGGGGGATGAGCACCAGCTGCTGGTACCCGCCTCTGACCCAGGATGGGTCATTGCAGTCTGCAGCTGGAAAAAAGTTGCCTACTTATACTGTACGCAACTGATAAGCTGTGCTTACTTAAACTCTAGATAATATCTCCCAACCGACCAACCAGCCTAAACTAAAAGTTTACTGAGTTTTAAGAGATTTCGTGTGTAAAGAAGAGTTGGGTTGGAGGAAACACTTGAGTGGCAAACTGAATGAACTCGGTAGTATAAAGAAGCCCTCTACCTGCACAACCTTTTGAACACTAGGTTTATATTGTCCTGCCTCAAGGTGTTTAATTTGAGCCCAAGAGAGAAACAGTTTCATAAGCCTTTGTGCTTTGTTACCATTCAAAATGTGCCAAAACTTCCATTTCAGTGGGCCATATACAGTTCATCACTATGTTGGACTGTATAGTCTAAACAAATAATTACAATTTTTATTTTACAAGCTTGTCCTGCTGAGAAAACCCTAATGACTACTGGGTTATTATGGCTCGCTCTTTCTCTCTCTCTCTCTCTAGACATTTTCAAATGAATTGGAAAACTGCACAAGTGGAAATACTGCCAGTCCCAAGGGGCACAAATCTGTACCAAGGAGTGGTAAGCAACAGCCAGGTAAGCTGTTTTGTTAATGTTACTCTGCTTTACACTTTTGTAAGTATACTAGAAATGGATAAAAGAATCGGAAGGAATTTTTTTCAAACTGGTGTTTTGGTACTGGTTTGGTGAAGAGATGGGTTTGCATTCAAAGTAAGCCAATAATGATTCTAATGATAACGACCCAGAACAGAAGACTTAATTTCCAGCAAGTGAGAAGCAAGGGGTTTTTTGATAATATCTTTAGTTGGACCAGTTCTGTAGTTGAGAGAGCCTGAGAGACAAGCATTTTAGATGCAGAGTGATCTTTCTCAGGTCTGGGAATGGAGCAGCTACAGTCGAAGCTGAATATTGGATAAAACATATTTTTGCTTTTTCGAACAAGAGTATTCAGCCCTTCTAATAATGGGTATGTTCACAATAAGAATTCATACCTATGCTTTCCCACCAACACTACTATTTCCCCCCCCCCCCCCCCAACACCCCCCACAAC